CCATTCTTTTCTTTCACTGCATTCAAACTTCTTTTTAGCTTTCACTTTGACAATTTAATTATAGTGTGTCTTGATGTAGCCCTACTTGGGTTCACCTATGTGGGGACTTTTGGGCCTCATGAATTTGGGCATTCGTTCCTTTCCCAAGACTGGGGAAGTTTTTAGTCATTATTGCTTTAAATATGCTTTTCCCCCCTTTCTCTTCTTCTGAAATGCTTCCAAAATTCCCATAATGTCAATATTGTTTCTTTCAATTGTGTCCTATAAGTTACATGTTCTTTCTTCACTCTTTACATTCTTTGTTTTCTATTATATTTGCTCCTCTGACTGGATTATTTCAAATGTTCTGTCTTCTAGGTCTTTTGCAAGGTCAAATCTGTTGACTTTTGAGTCAACAGTTTTTGACAGTTTGACTTTTTTAGTCATTGAGTTCAATCATTGTAATTTTTAGCTCTAGGATTTCTGCCTGGCTTTTTGATGGTTTCTATTTGTTGAACTTGGTTTGTCATTGCTTTCCTGATTGTTTACTTGTCCACTGTGTCTTAGAGTTCACTAAATTTCTTTAGGAGGATCATTCTAAATTCCTTGTCTGACAATTCATATACCTGCATTCCTTTAGGATCAGTTATTGGAACTTAATATCCTTTTGTGTCACGTTTACAAGTTTACCTGATTTTTTTTGATCCTTGATTCCTTATGTTGACATCTGTGCATTTTAGTAAAAAGTCTCTAATTCCAGACTTTTAAAATTTGCTTTGGCACAGACAGTCCTTTACTGGTTGGCTCATTTTGGGTTTCTGGACATGTCTGATGGTGATATCTTTGGACAGGTGGGACTTGCCATCAGGGTGTATTTTCAGATGAGTCCACTGTTCAGGCTGGGGTCTGGGGTGGTACTTCTGACTGAGAATGATTAGATAGGACTTTTGGCTCTGTTCCCTTCCTAGGTAAGGCTGTAGGATGGGCTCCATGGTTACTTGAGTTCTCTGGTCAGACTTACTAGATAATTGGAACTGGATACTATTCTCTACAGTGGGCAGAGCTATGAATTAGCTTCCTTCTCTCAGTAGGGCAGCAGGACAGGCTCCAGGGCCTGCATAACTCATTGTTTGGGGATCTGAATCAGGCAGGTATGTGCAATGAATTATATGGCCAGATGAGGTCACTGGTTTTGCCCTGCAGACCGAAAAGTCCCAGCCTGTGTGCCCTGTTCAAGCATCACTGTAAGCCATATTGTTGGGTGGGCTCCACAGCTTCCAGTATGCTCTGGTTAGGTTTCCTGGATGGGCAAGCTGAATGATGTGGATAGCAATGGGAGGGCAACAAATCAGTTTCCTGCCCAGGTAGAACAGTAGCATCACCTCCAAGGCTGGTAAGCCTCTCTGTGGTCGACTCAAGTCAACCCGTTCTCCCAGTTCCCTGGCCAAACAGGGCCACTGGCTTTGCCCTGCAGTCTATCAGCTCTGCCTGCCATGCTCTCTACTCGAGTGTTGCTGAGCTATGCAGCTTCCAGGCGTTTTGGCCAGGTGGGCCAGGAGGTACAGTCACCAGTTGATAAAGGGATGGTTTAACTCCTCTGCCTGAATGAAGTGGAAAGGTCAGCTCCAAGCTGGTCTCCAGTGTTCTGGATCAGGTTTTCTGGTCGGGAGAGGCCAGACGCTACACTCAGTAATGGATGGGTGTATGAATCAGTTTCCCTGCTTTGATGGAGGCCAGAACACCCCCAAGCCCAGCAAGATTCTTTGTGGTTTTGACTCAATCTGACTTGGTCCTTCCAAGTACCCTGGCCCTATACTGACAGACTTTGCTTTGCAACTATCATAACAGCCTGCCATTTGCTGCTCAAGCAGAGCTATGTAGCTCTGTATTCCTGAGCTGTGTAGCTTCCAGCTTTCTGGTCAGGGGGTACTGGGAGCTGCACTCAGCGGGGGGTTGGGCTATGACTCAGCTCCTCTGTTGCAGTGGGGCAGACCAGACTCTAGGGATAGCAAGGCTCTTCATTTGAGGATCTGAATCAGGCAGACTTGCATCTCACAGGTTTCCCTGGTCATAGCTCAGCATGTGAGCAGAATCTCTGATTGGGACAACTAGTTGGACCCTGCAAGTAGGAACTTGGATCTGCCAAGATGCACGTGCTGGTTCTTGCAAGCCCCTACCCCTTTTCCGTCATAATCATAATTTCAGTGATCAAGCCCCACAGATTTCTCCACAATTCCCGTGGAATGAGACCAGACTGGGGCTACCAAGAAGTGACCCGCAACACTGTGGGAGTTAGAGGTTGACTCTAGGCTCTCATTTCCCAGTAGAGAAATGCTAGGCTCAGGGGAAGACCTCTTAATGGGGTGCTGTGCTGCCGTGGGGGAAGGGCAATGTGGTCAGCATGTGGCCATTCTTCTTATCCTTCTGATTTCACGTCTTGATCTCCATGGTGTGGGGGAGGTGCTTCAACCTCACCTCTATGTCCTAGGGTGTTCTTTCTAAATTTTTATTTTAGAGTATAATTGATCAACAGTGTTGTGTTAATTTCAGGTGTATAGCAAAGTGATCCAGTTATACATATACATGTGTCCATTTTTTTTTTCAAATTCTTTTCCCATTTAGGTTATTACAGAATGCTGAGAGTTCCCTGCCACTATACTTACTGCAGGTCCTTGTTATCTATTTTAAATACAGCAGTGTCTACATGTCAATCCCCAACTCCCAATCTATCCTTCCCTACCACCCTCCCGTCTTGGGAACTATTAGTTTGTTCTCTAAGCCTATGTATGAGTCTGTTTCTTTTTTAAAAAATTGTATTGGAGTATAGTTGATTTACAACATTGTATTCATATCTGTTTTGTAAATAAGTTCATTTGTATCACTTTTTTTTTTAGATTTTGAATATAAGCAATATCATATGATATTTGTCTTTGTCTGACTTTACTGCACTTGGTGTGATAATCTCCAGGTCCATCCATGTTGCTGCAAATGGCATTATTTCACTCTTTTTAACAGATGAGTAATATTCCATTATATATATGTACCACCTCTTTATCCATTCATTGGTGAATGGACATTTAGGCTGCTTCCATGCCTTGGCTACTGTAAACAACACTACAGTGAACACTGGGGGCATGTATCTTTTCAAACCATGTTTTCTCCAGACATATGCCCAGGAGTGGGATTGCTGGATCATATGGTAGTTTTTCGTTTTTTAAGGAACCTGCATACTGTCACCAGTCTTGATCCCTGTGGTGTGGAGGAGATGCTTCAGTCCCACCCCAATTTCTAGGATTTTCTTAGTGGTGTCTTACCCATAAATGTTAGTTTTTTTCGTGGGAGGGAGAGGGAAGTCAGAAACTACCTGTGTCATTATGTCACTCCTAACACTTGATTTCTTACAAAGTTCCTCAGAAATTCCCCTCTGCAACCTTCTTTGCCTTTCTGCCTCTACAAACTTACAAACATCTTAAGATGTTCACTATGTCTTCCTTGTACCAAAAACAGGGAAGATGAATAAGTGTATTCACTATGCCGGTAGAAAAAAATGAAGGGAGAGATGGGAGGAGGAAAGAGAAGAGGTTTTATGTTAGAAACATTATCGAGAATTGTGATTGCCAGAGGCACTTGTGATAGCAAAGGCAGAATTCCATGGGGGAAAATATATTTCTGGCCAGAGAGTCTGAAGTTCAGTCTGTGCTCAGACCAGATATAAACTGGTACTTAGCAAATGGTTACCTCCTTATCCTGACCCGTGTGTTGCATGGTCCTCTATGTAGTTATGAATATTCATGGCCCACTGCAAACCCAAGAAGTTGTTCAGTTCCCTTCCCTGCCCCCACCACTTTTCCTGTTCCAAGGAACAGGAGAGAAGTTATGGATAGGTCGAAAGTGGGGACCTATTGGGCCATGATGCTCAAGGTAGAGCTTTAGGCTTACCAAGCAGGAACCACAGGACTGGGTCTGTAGAGCAAGCTGTCTGTTTGGAGCATCTCTGTGTATTTCATCTTTTGAGACTTTCCGTGGAAATCCCTCTGGCCAACGTGTGACATATTTCAGACTTCTTAATCATGATTGAAAACTCTGCCAGTGGCCACTTGTTTTCAGTTCCCATACATCTCCTTAGTTTAGGCTCTGTTAGAGTTAGTACAGTTGACCTTTGAATAATGCAGAGGCTGTGGGCGCCAATCTCTGTCCAGTCAGAAATCTGGATATAACTATACTGATGGCCCTCTATGTCCATAGTTCATGGATCCAACCAATAGCAGATACTATAGTACTATATTGTATTTTTATTGAAAAAAATATCTGCTTATAAATGAACCCTCACAGTTTAAACCTGCGGTGTTCAAGGGTTAACTGCATTTCACTCCCAGCAACAGCAGGTCAGAAAGAATACTAGAAAGATAAAACTACTAAATGGCTGAAGTTCTAGCCTGCCCAAAGCCACGCTGACCAACTGTTCCCATCTAAGGGAACATCTAAGGATCTTGGGACCCCATCAGCTCCGGATTCCACAGCCAGAATGAAACAATGTTGATGGATGAGGTGCACTCCCATTTCCCTGACTGGCACAAGCAAGGTGATATAATTCAAGGTCAGGTTCTGCAGCCTCTGGAAGAATAATTATAACAACAAGCATTGCTTAGAAGTGCATTCCTCGACCTGCCCCTTGTGGCCCATCCAGACAGACAGTCCCTTTGCTAGGATTAGCAGAGCATACTAGCGGGCAGCGTGATCAAAAGCATTGCATGTGTCATTGGTTGCACTCTGTATTTCCTCCACAAAGTGTCAGTGGCATTTTCTGTCCTCTTCTGAGTAATTTCTTATTAGTCAGCTTGGTACCCTAAGAAGGAAGCATCAAGAAAGATAGAAAAGGGGCCTTAGGAAGAAAAACGTAATCTCGCTGAAGGATGAAGTCATTTCTCAGGAGTGTTTGGGAGTGACAGACTTTCTTTAAAGATGCCACTCTGATTTGTCTTATTCTATGAGAAGAAACAACAACAAAATTTCAGAAGACCCAGCTAAAAATATTCCATGTGCATAAATTTATTTTAAATTTTATTGCATCACATTATACAAGCATTAAACATGGCTTCACTTTGATGACTATTTAAATGTGAAAATCCATCATTCATGTCAGTACCTTTTGGCTATTTACAGTTAAGGAAGTTCTATGTACTTTATATATCTCTGTATTTGTATGTACATATGTAAGAATATATGACTATACATATGTACACACAGAAATACATCTATGGCCATACACATAGCTATAGATATGTCATATATAATAATCTCCTCAGAAAGATCTGAAATTAAAAAAAGAAAAAGTTGTAAACAGGGTCTTGTTTGTGTTGTTTGATGACATGGAATTAGGACCATATGATGACATTCTAGGAATGTGTCCAGGTGTCCGAATACCCTTTATAGCCCAGTGTCTGTAAAATCCACATGGGTTAGAATGCAAAAAAGATAGCAAACAGGCTGAAAAACAGGCCCAGTATACAAGTTCCCCTTGGTTTTAAAAACTTGAGAATGTACTGCCCATGGCGTGCATGCTTGCTTGGTCAGGAATGGTCTGTGGCTAGATAGCATTTGTGTGCTGGGCTGCAATGTGACTTCACAGCAGCGTGGCTTCCCAGGCAGTCCTTTCAGGGCGCTGACCCCTCTGCCGCTGCCGACCTCGGCGACATGCACTGCGGTTGCATTATAGTCATTCACTTGAATGTGCTTTTGCACAGCCGGGAGAAGTAAACAAGAATTCAGGTCCTAGGCCTGGAAATAAACGATTATCTGGAAAAAAAAGGAGAAAGTATTAAGGTTCTAAGCATACATGATGGCTGAAAGGACAGAATGTGCAATGGTGTATACTTGTTAACATGAAATCAAAGATATTCAAGGAATCTATAATCCTGAACCAAGTCAGGTAGGGTATAAGCATTACTGTGCCCACTTTACAGATGAACAGTCTGGAGGAAGGTGGCTTCCTGCCAACTGCTGGTAAAAGAGAGACAAAGACTACGCTTTCAAGAAAAATTGAGAAATGGCCTCTTTGGGGAGAAAGCAAATCAAATGATGAGGCCAGAAGGAACTCCAGCTCCCAAGCGTGAAGGGCCCCTCAGTGCAGGGTAGCCCTGGGGTGTGAGGTGGGGATAATCCACAGCAGCACCTTGGTCTCCAGGCCCTGGAGCTGTCCTCTTCACTAATATCTGCCTCCTCCTCCAACTCAAGATGTCTGGCTGGTCAGCCTTTCTCCTCTGAGAGCTGACCTGAGCCAGAGAAAAGGTGGTTAAAATGGTGCATGGGCCAGGGGGTTGAGGCAAATTACAGATTCCCAGAAGGTTAAAGCCAGATAGGCTCTTAAAGGATTGTTTAGTCCAACTCCTTTTTTCTTGCAAATGTGGAAACTGAATCCACAGGAATGTTCCAACTCAGGCCAGACAGAATGGAAAAGCCAGACAGAGAATGAAAAAGCCAGATCTGCAATCCACAGGACTAGAACACGGTGCTCAGCCACAGTGCAAATCCCATATAGTATTCTAGAGCACTTTGGTTTGTACATGTCTCATAGATTTTGCCTTATTTGAGCTGTATATTAGTTCCACCAAATAAGCAGACTCAGAAAAATGTAATTTTCCTGAACTCACATAGCCAAATGACAGCTGAGGAACATGGCGAAATTACTAAGTAGCAAAACACTTCTTGCCTTTAGTGAAGTCAAGGGCTACTTTTGGAATTGAGGGCAGAACCAGTGTTCAGCATCTATGTTGTTGTTATTTAGTTGCTCAGTTGTGTCCCACTCTTTGTGACCCCTTGGACTGCAGCATGCCAGGCTTGTCCTTTACCATCTCCTAGAGCTTGCTCAAACTCATGTCCATTGAGTCGGTGATGCCATCCAACCATCTCATCCTCTGTTGTTCCCTTCTCCTCCTTCCTTCAATCTTTCCCAGCATCAGGGTCTTTTCTAATGAGTTGGTTCTTCGCACCAGGTGGCCAAAGTATTGGCGCTTCAGCATCAGTCTTTCCAATGAATATTCAGGACTGATTTCCTTTAGGATTGACTGGTTTGATCTCCTTACAGTCCAAGGGACTCTCAAGGGTCTTCTCCAACACCACAGTTCAAAAGCATCAATNTTTTTTTTTTTTTTTTTTTAATCTCTCCTTGCTATTCTTTGGAACTCTGCATTCTCATAGGTATATCTTTCCTTTTCTCCTTTGCCTTTTACATCTCTTCTTTTCTCAGCTCCTTGTAAGGCTTCCTCAGACAGCCGTTTTGCCTTTCTTTTTCTTAGGGATGGTTCTGATCACCATCAGCATCCATACACCACTACCACCCTGTGGCCTGGGGCTGGGGGCGTTCCCCCAAGTCCATACTCACACCTGACTCATCATAAACTCCTGGACTATTCATACAGATCTGGATTGATGGAACTTTACTAATTTAACAACAGACATTTCTGCAGATATATGCTATATTTTTACCTATGTGAAAAGTAAAAAAAAAAAAAAACCATACTTTTTCCTATATATTTCATCTTTCTTTTGGAGGTCAAATTTTCGAAGTTAGTCTCCAAACAAGTGGAGACAGAAGGGAAGGCAAAACAAATGCTGCAACACTAGCTTCACAGAGTATCAGAACTGAGGGCTCATCTTATCACTGAAGAAACTGAGGCCCAGAAAAGCAAAGTGACTTGTCCAAGGACACACAGATAGTAATTGCCTTGCCGGAAAGGTTTCAGAAGAACTTTTGCATAAGATATGTGGGAACATCATGGAACTTTCTTAAGTGTAATGCACCTGACCTTTAAAAATGCACATTAATAAAGTCTTTACTGAATTTTTCACAGTATTGCTTTTATTTTTTTATATTTTGTTTTTTTGGCCACAAGGCATGTGGGATCTTAGCTCCCTGGCAAGGAATGGAACTTGCATTCCTTGCATTGGCAGGTGAAGGTTTTAACCACTGGACTTCCAGGGAAGCCCCTAGATGTGCATTTATTTAATAGGTGCTGTGTGCTTAACACTGCCCTGACCAGTTGGAAGAATCAATTGCAATCCATAGGGATTTTCCTAAAGATGCTTACAATTGTGCTGGGGAAGCCTAATAATTGTTTGAAAATCACAAGTTAATAACACATATCAATATCTGTCAAACATGTGGTACTGATGCAGTAACCAGAGATGTTTATCAGGAGTGAGTCTTGTGGGCTGATGAGTCTGGGGAAACCTTTTTAGAAGGTGTGGCGTGACATGGGTCAGCCTGGGAAGAAATGATGCCTGGGTGATGGAGGGGAGGCCATCATGGGTGAGATGAAAAGGTGATTTAATATCCCCAGGGTAACCTGCCCCTTCTTTCTGATGAAAGGGAACAGCCAGACTGTAGTGGATGTGGTTGTTGGGCAAGGTTATTTTGGGGGACACATAGGCCAACTCGTGAAGATCTTGGCTGCCAGGCTAGAGTGTGACAGGGAGGCAGAGCAGAGCCACAGGAGTTGTGTGCAAAGGGAAGATTAGGTTAAATTTGCAATTAAAGGAAGAAACAAGCTGGTTTTGGAAGATTCTAAAGGATTATTTACTACTGGGCTTCCCTAGTGGCTCAATCGGTAAAGAATTTGCCTGCAATGCAGGAGACCTGGTTTCGATCCCTGGGTCGGGAAGATCCCCTGGAGAAGGAAACGGCAACCCACTCCAATACTCGTGCCTGGAGAACTCCATGGGCAGAGGAGCCTGGCTGGCATGGTCCATGGGATCACAAAGAGTCGGACGTGACTGTGCAACTAACTTAAAAGGATTTATTTTCATCCCTATCAAAAGAACAAGGGCAAGCTCTGTTCCAAGGAGTCAAAAGCGCCCCTCCCAGCCAAGGAGAGATTTCAGACCGTGAACGTACCTCTCACCGACCTGGTCACGGCCACTCATTGTGGTGTGCTTTTCCATTTTTCTTCCTCTCCTTTCGTTCCTTCTGGAGACGCTCCAGTTCTGCTTCATACATCATCTCCTGAATCAAGTACTTCTCTCTTCTCATTCGATCCCTTAGATCTTTTGGGAGGTCTGGGATCAGATATGAAATGAGGTGCTTTATACAAAAGACGAGGTGCTAAAAACACAGGGGAGAATACAGCAGAGTCAGGTCTACTGTGTAGCCTGAACGGAAAGAGCCCTGGGAGCTGGTCAAGATCGGGGATGTGGAGCCTCTGGGGTGTCTGGAAAGTGGGACGAAGCCAGGGGCGGTGTGTGCGAGGAAGGAGGGTCACAGGGTCAGCGAGGACTGGACCTGTTGGGCTGGCCCCACATGGGAAATGAGGATTCAGGAAAGAAGGTAGAGAAGCAACGGCTAGAGAATGCAAAGGAGAGCCAGAAGACAGGACCACGGGGTCAGAAGGCCAGGTCTGAATCCCAGCTCCACTTTTAGCACTTAAGACGGTTTACCTGAGCATAGGTCACTCTGAACCTCAATTCCTTCACCCAAAAAATGGGTGTTATTGTAATAATTGTAAGAAGATATTTTAGAAGGCTCCACGGATGGCAAAATACTTGATTGTGGTGGTCTGGCACTAAGCCTGCAATGTCTCTGAGGTATGCCTGTGTAGGACTTCTAGGCTGAGCCAAGAGGAAGCCTTCACTTCATTAATCTGGCTTTAATATATGTAACAAGAGATGAAATTCCCATTTTGGAATACAGTTATGGGAATGCAAACTATTTTTAATACAATTTTCTTAAAGACTAGGAGAAAATAGATGATATAACTTTATTGACACATCTACTAGGTAGATTATACTTTGTAAGTTCATACGTAATGTCATGATGATGCGCAACCAGAGGCTGCCACTTGTAACAGTCATTTCAGTGTTTTCTAAACACTGTCCCTGAACATCAGAAGCATCTTGGAGGACTGTGAAAAGCAAACTGCAGGCGTGATGTATCAGAATCTCTGGGAGTGGGGGTGGAAAAATGGCAATTTTCCTGAATTTTAAGAACCACAGCCCTAAGAATATTACACTTAGGACCAAAGATTCCTGACTTATCCATTAACAATCAACAGTGAACTTTCAAATATTTCTTAGAAAATTCAAGGACTTTAATTAAAGACAAGAAAATGAGAAAAAGATTGCACAGTATAACTTATCCTGCTTCTAGACAATCCATAAATCACATTGAAAGTTCTTGTAACTTACATTCATCCATTACTTCTATTTACTTCATTAGGTCAAAGGAAATCAAGCCATTGGGTGAGAAAAGTTACCTCGAACACAATGATAAAAGCCAGTCGGGCTGCTAGGACGTGCCAGAACTGGAGCGTGTAACCATAGGGCGCCAGGGAATGAGGAGGGTCACGGTAGTCCCGGTACCTGTAAACATGCAGGAGAATCTTACATTCCAAATTAGGATCTTCCTGCCTCCCAAAGCTCTTCTCCCTACTCTGAACCCTCATTCACGGGGGACAACTAGACAGAGTTTCTGTATACTAGACATCTGTGGTTTTGCATCTCTTCTAGTGAAAGCCTCTCTCTCCTTCTCTGGAGAATCATCCCTGTGGGCTGGGCAGGGTTTGCCTCTTCCCTGATCCCAGCTCAGAAGATGAATCAGACCTGGTCAGTGAAACTCATTACCAGGTCTTCTGCTAAGAATGATCACTTAGTGAATTATTACTAAGTCCAAGGAAAGTAAAAGCCTGGAGCTTCTAGTGGGCGTCACAGATGTGTGCGAAGCCAGCCTGCTTGGGAATGCAGTCCACGTAACAAAGCAGAGCCAGCACAAAGGCAGTCTCTTGCGGACACTGCTGGAGGGTTGGAATCTAGTCATTAATAATGTTAGTATCGTTAACAACCTCCTGGTCACCTGAACCAATGGATTTCTGTTTAAGTCAGTTTATACTGGATTTCTGTCACTTGCCACTAAAGAGTCCTTCCTGATATATGCTCCACCTGTAACTTGTGAGTCACCAACTTCCATGAATATTATGAACTAAGTGCCAAGTCTTATCCTAGGAACTTAAATCCTTGTGACTACACTTTATCCTTTACTATCCCTCAGTACTATTACGTGGGAAAACTAAGAAGTGACTGTCATCGCCTAAGTGTTTTCATGTGTTTTGAATCTTCTTTTCATTAGCTTCAGAAAGGTGAAAAGATCTAGAAATACTGGTTATTACAATAGGTCTGCTGTGTAGACACACCAGATTTCCTTTGTCTGAATAAAAATTATGATTGCCTAGGTTCTTCTATAAGACAGTACCTAACTTAAGGTTGGCACTAATTTGTATATGAGGATATAGGGCACTGCCTATCCAGAGCACCCTTGAAAAGCATCAGACTACAAAAATATGAGCTATGACCATTACAATCATCAATACAATTATCTTAATTATTATTAGTATCTATGGAATGTAATAGTATTGTACTATGAGTATTTTGCCAATAAAGTGATATTTTTGATGAGTACTTGCTACTGAAATTAAGAATGAATCTGTTTTTCTCTGTCTGACAGCTTCACTAAGCACTATACCCTCCATGTTTCAGCAAATGGTGGAATTTCATTATTTTTTATGGCTGAGTAATATTTCATTGTGTGTGTGTATGCACACATGTATCTATCTAGTTGCATATCACATATCCATCTGTTGATGGATGCTTACATTGATTCTATATTTTGGCTATTGTAGATAATGCTACTATGAACACTGAGGTGCATATATATTTTTTGCCTCTTTATACTTATTTTTTTTAATGTTTAATTGGAGGATAATTGCTTTACAATGTTGTACTGGTTTCTACATTTATCTCTTCTAATTAGTGTTTTCATTTTCTTTGGATATATATCCATCTGCTTAGTGAAGTAAGTCAGAGAAAAATACCTTTATGTTTTCTTTTACATGTGCAATATAAGAAATAAAACAAGTGTAACAAAAGCAGACTCATAGATACAGGTAACAAACTAGTGGTTACCAACAGGAAGAGGGCTGTGGGGAGGCCAGGATATGGGAAGGGGATTGAGAGGTGCAAAGAGTAGGTGTAAAATAAATAAGACACAAAGATGTAATACACAGCACAGGAAATATAACCAGTATTTTATAATAATTTTAAATAGAGGATAATCTACAAAAATACCAAATCACTGTGTTGTACACCTGAAAATAATATAACACTGTAAATCACTATATTGCAGAAAAATTAATGAGTCTGTTAGTGCCTTCAAACTTGATTCTATGATGGTGAGGATTTGGTGAGATTAAATAATCTGTTACTGCCACAGGTCCAATAACAATGCCTGGAATTTTAGGAAGAATAATTTTATTTAAGATTAAAGTTTGCATAGACTATTGTAACCTCCTTTTACTTTTTGCAGAGCGCAGCTAGTCAAGAACCCAGAATTGTGTTTTCTTCCATTAAGATAACAAATGTAGTTCCTTTGTTTGTCTTTAGCTACACATATTTCAAGTACAGTCCAAGTCAACATTCTAGAAGAAAAATATCAGTGTGCTTTTTATTATACACATAGTTAATTATTAAAAAAGGTATATATAAGAGGAGTGAGCCTATATTGTTTCAAGAGTCACCTTCATTGACCCTTTAAACTTTTTCCACAATAATGTTCACTAGAAAAGGAAGTTCTTTTCAGGATCCACTGGTCTCTTTCCTATTTATGCCTCTTCTCTGCTCTTGTCTTTTGTCTTTTGTTTTGCCTGCTCTATTTTGTAGCTTCTCAGATGTTGTTTGGCTTTTCATTTGAAGAATTTTGACAAATCTCTTCTTCCCCAGATACCTTCTAAACTTGCTGAGTAGAAGATCATGGCTTTTCCTTGATTTTGCAGACCATTTCCCTTGACTATTTCCATAACATACAATTCAGATGGATCGTTTTTTAAGACTGATTTCTTTATTTTACTGTTTGGCTGCTCCGGGTCTTCACTGCTGCCTGTGGGCTTTCTCCAGTCGCGGGGTGGAGGCTACTGTCCCGTGTGGTGCGTGGACTCACGCTGGTGGCCCCTCTCGCTGGGAGCACAGGCTCCAGGCAGGATCAGTGGTCGTGGCTCAGTGGCTCGAGAGCGCAACCTTAGCTGTGGCACATGGGCTTAGCTGCTCCGCGGCATGTGGGATCCTCTCATGCTAGGGAGCATTCCCCACGTCCCTTGCATTGCGAGGCAGATTCTTAACCACTGGACCACCAGGGAAGCCCCATATGTATCTTATAAGTCCTGCTATAAATTCATGGCAAATAAATGAATTCCTTCATTCAGCATAGCTGAATAAATTAGAGACATGTCAAATATAAACAGCCATTAAATATAAGTATGAAACTTAGAATAATGAAATACTTTTCATGATTCAATGAGAATAGATTATCACACACAATGACTATTTGTAAATTCACAAAAGATAAAAGGTTTGGGGGCTTCCCTGGTGGCTCAGATGATAAAGAATCTCCCTGTAGTGTAGGAGACCTGGGTTTGATCCCTGGGTCAGGAAGCTCCCCTGGAGAAGGGAATGGCAACCCACTCCAGTATTCTTGCCTAGAGAATCCCACGGGCAGATGAGCTTGACGGGCTAGCACCTGGTATATTCTAGCACTAGTTAATTCACTCCCATTTTTTTGAACTCTGAAAATAAAAACATATATATGTTTAAAAGATTTTAGGTTGGTTAGTTTAGTTGCTACGTTGTGTCCGACTCTTGTGACCCCATAGACTGTAGCATGCCTGGCTCTTTTGTCCATGGGATTCTCTAGGCAAGAATACTGGGTGGGTTGCCTTCTCCAGGGAATCTTCCTGCCTCAGGTATTGAACCCAGGTCTCCTGCATTGCAGATTTTTTGCCAACTGAGCTACAAGGGAAAAAAAGGTTTTAGGTGGTGGTTTTAAATGTTACTTTATGTTTTTTCAAAATTTAAAAAATTAATGTTCTTTACTATATGCTTTCTCATATCTAGAAAACACAAACTCATGGCTATGGTGAGTTGGCAACATTTTAGAAAGTTTCTATTCAGGGTTCGTTGTTGAGAATGTGCATCTATTTATTCAGACTGTGAGTCATACATGCCCATTTGTGACAGATCACAGAGTTCTGCTAACCTGTACCCAGAGGAACACAACATGCTACATGGCCACTTAGGTTCTGAGAACAAGAATCACAAGTTGTGAAGTTCTTAGGAAGTTCGTTTTCAGAAGCAGCAGATTTCTGGCTTCCAACTCTCTTAAGCCATTGTACCATAAAGTCAAGTTTCTCTCTAGAAATTTCTTCTTACTACCCTAAGGGAATTAAAACTCAGTGGTAGCAATGAGTTTGTCATCTTTGCTACCTGAAACTGTCCCCAGAATTATGCACTAGACAGTATACTAGAACCATGCTCGGGGTTTGCCTGACTAAAGGATGCACAAAGCATCTCTGGACATGAACTTTCCCTTTCAACAAACTTAGGGTCTGTCTCAGCCTGCTCTAACATTTTGGACTCACTCTTTTCTTCTATGAGCTTGTGAATGACTATGAGTGGAGCTCTCAGTTCACGCTCCAGCACCTACCCCTGATCTCCTTGCTTTTTCCACTTGACAGATGTTTTGGAGAGGGCTGTGCTCAGATATCATTTGTGTCCCATGTCTTTGTTTTTGATGCAAAGTCTAATCTTTCTTTTGCAAAATGGTTGGCTACATACTCTCTGGCACTTGTATCAATACAAAGAAAACAGTTCCTTGACCTTCTGTAGAAACAGCCAGGAAACCAAGCCTCAAACGAATAAATCAGTGTCACGCTCCTGATCTTTTAGCCTAGTACCTTCCAAGACATTGAACAGTCCAGTAATGTTAACGTGTGGAGGAATTTTCCCAAGTGAGTCAGAATTTTCTTTTTGACAGTAAAGTTTTAGTTTCTTGGGTTCAACTTTACACATAGGAAAGGCAGGATGTTCTCTTTTAAGTTAGTATATTCTCTAAAGCTGCTTTTATTTCTCGGGAAATAGATGGTTGGCTTGCAAATATTATTTTTCTAGCACCAGGTATATTCTAGAACTAGTTAGTTCATTCCCATTTTTTTTTTTGTGAACTGTGAAAATAAAAACAGATGTATGTTTTAAAAGAATGCTACGTGAAACTCATCCAAGTTAAAACAGTGTGGTCAGTATTTTACTGTCAATACCAGATACCCGAGAGCTGACAACTGTTGCAATTTTCTGCTTTTCTATATAATTATGCTACTCATGCAAGTGTTCCTGAAGACAGCGGTGCTTAGTTTTATCTGCTTTGAATTCTATATAAATGGAATCATACTGTATGTTTTATTTTGCATATTTTATTACCTAACTTAAATTTTGAGTTATCAATTCTATTCCATTTTCTATTCAGATGTTAAACCATGCACTGA